CCCTGGGCGCAAATGGACATTTCCTTTGGTGTTAATGGCTGTGGGATCAGGCCCCATCTGGCCATGGAGCCCAAGGTCAGCTTTGGTATGGTGAAGAATGCCCACGGGAAGGCAGGAACACAAAAGCGTTGGCCTTGAGGGAAGCGGAGTGAAGGGCTGCAAACTGAGTTCACAGCAGCTAACTGGAATTCACCCCACTGTGGAAAATGGGAAGGATGCTGGAGAAGCTGCATGATAGCGCCTTTCCAGCAAGCTCGAATACGCCAAAGGGCAGCACGCATCAGTGCGTGGAGCAGGGCCGTGCCGGCTAGTGCCAGATACGGAGAGAGGGCATTTGCAAAAAGAAAGGACCTGGGAAGGGTAAGAATGGGTGGAGGTAGAAATCAGTTAGGGGGGGGTGTGAAGGCAACAAGCAAAAAAGAAATGAGCAATGAACGGAATGAGTAGGCATATTTTTTAAATAGGCATTCTCTGGTTCTCTGCCATTAACTTGGGGTCCTGCAAAGAACCAAGTAATTTTTCTTCTCTGGGCCCCTGCTGTCCCATCTGGCTGTTTGGAGTGAGTAACTCCAGGTAGGTCTTACCACTCACAAGACATTTACAGGATGTAAAGTGCAACCTGCCCTGCTTTTCTGTGGGGCTTCCTGGTGCTACTTCAGTATAGTAACCAATGAAAATAGAAAATAAAGCACCCAAACCCCTAGAATTGCGTGAAATATTGCATTGTCTTAAAACAAGGAATTTATTGGCCGGTGAAAGTGAGGAAAGCGTTAGAATTCTTAACAATTACTTTGCTTCAGACTCTACAAAGGAAAATGCAAAGAGTTACCTAAATCAAGCATCATTTTGTCACGACTGCCCACAGACTCGCTGTCACGTACACAGAAAAAAACCCTCTTATTTTCATAGGTGATAATTCACATTGGCTATACAATACAAGAGCTCTCCAAATTTTGTTGACTTAAGCAGTTGTTGAGTATCTACCAGAAAAATCAGGTTCCTTTAGTGTGCCTGGCTCTCCTCTTCCTTCTCCCAAAACTGAGGTTCATTTGCTGCCTCTGAAAAATCATGATTCAGATGAGCCTAAGTGGATTTGTAGGTGTAGCTGATAAAAATAAAAAGTAGCGTGCGTAGAAGGAAGGTTGGAAAGAGAGGAACGTTTTAGTGAGTGAATATAAAACTGCTATTTGAAATAAACGTTAGGGTTCTGGAGGGAAGCAAACATTAAATTACCCTATTAGTATGGACTGTTCAGCCATCCATCTAGTTTAGTGTCTTGTCTTCAGCAGTGACCTATTCCAGACGATAAATGTGAGGGAGGGGGAACAGGAGGGGATGAAAGGAAGGCAGAGAAGGAGCAGGGAGAGGAATCCAAACGGGCCAGTAAAGAAATCCGTATAGCTATAACGCACGTGCATACTGCGCCCTACTCAATTAGAGAGCGGCTTTCCTCCTGACCCCGAGCTGACGATCAAAATACGCCCTGAAGCACACGGATCGGTAGCCCTTGTCATTTTGATCCCAGCTTGTGTCAGTGCATATGCTATTCTGCTTCATGTCAATGCTTAATCCTTTCTGATACTTACTAAGCTATTTAAGTCAATAATATCCCACGGTACCGAGTGTCGCATGTTAATTATATGGCTCATAAAACATACAACCTGATATCATTGCAAATTTGTTCTATTTTAAAGCTGCTGAGTGCTCTCTCCTGTTACGAGACAGGATCAGTAGGTATGTCCCAATGGCCAGCCGTGTTCTATACATCTCTGCTTTTTTTCAGCTGTAGTCTGGCAGGGTCTCCGTGCCCGGGGGGCCCTGGGCAGGCCCTGTGTACCCGCTGGTGCTCTGCCTGGTTCCCCAGGGACTGTGGGGACACGGGCCTTGCGCTGGGACATTTGCAAGCCACCTAGGCACGAGGTATTTTCCTCTCAGCTTGAAGTGCTTGAGACTGTGGATTTCAGAAGCACAGGTTAGGTCCCCAGCTAGGAAAGGGAAGCATTCGGTACACATCCAGCTCATTTAGCTGCTGTAAGCTCACTCCACACACTCTTTTCCCCGGAGCTTTCTCCTTCCTTTACTGAGGGATCAATAGCAGGTTTATTGACCAATTTCACAGCCTGTTGTGGATTCCTGCACAAGTACACACGATGCAGACAAAGCCTGGTGGAAGATAACACGTGGACAGTCTTGAAGAGCTGAGTACTTCCCCAACAGACCGTACAGAAGGGGCTGCAGCAGCCTTATTTTATGTTTCTCATCTCATGGAAATCCAAGTCCCTCCAACACTAGCCAGAGCTCTAGGTTAGAAGCTGAGGGACCTCTGGAAGGGTAGCCTTTCCAGCCTCTGAAGCTTGTGTTGCTAGAGAGACAGCGCTAAACAATTTCTGAATGCTGAGCTACAATGTCTACCAGCTGCTCTCTTAACTGATCGGTGTCACAAAACGTTTTCGCTTTTATCAGATCTAAACTCTCCTTTGAACTGTATCAATAGGACCTTAGAGAAACCACTAGCGAGGATTACGGAAATCAGACACATGTTCTGAGCAGTAAGAACAATTTCCTCTAGTTCTGTATCTATAGCGATATTAATAATACTGCATTCAAAGAATTTCCAGTTTTCATTCCCATCGTCTTGAAACTGGCCGGTGTCAATTGTTGATCAGGCAAAGAGCAGAGTTTCCCATCATTTATATAGCAACAAGGTCATGTTCCATGAATTCCTCTAATAATTATCCAGTAACAATAACTGGTGCGTTAAAATCACCCTCAGATGAGCTTCACCTCAAAGTGTTTCGTGTCTGTTGCCTCCCTGGGTGGGTGGACGGCAGAGAAGCAGATTTTCCTGCTTCACGAGAGCGTGAAGCCTGTGTGCCCAGTGCCGAGCGTAGCTTAATCCTGTCTCTGGGCAGCTCTGCTGTCACTGAAGGGTTACTGTGTGGGTATACGATAGTGGGGAAACATCTTGAACATTCATTTGAATATGGCCATCGCGGTGGAATGTCCAGGGGCTATTTTAAGATTCACACTGTTTGTTTAAACAAGATTGCGTGACTCAATGACCGTTATGTAAAGGATGAACACGGATTTCTCCCTATATCCCAGATATCTGCACCAACTTAAAGTATTGTATGATATTATACGTTACCGATTATTGAACGAATACTGAAAACTAATGCCACATCCTGGGGTGGAGTCTCCTTCGTTTTTTAAACAAGGTCTCTGTCCAGGGGAAGGCTAATACTGCAAAAAAGATGACGGACAGACAGTGCTCGTGAGCTGAATGCTGTCTTTCACCGTGGTGAGAAGAATATGAACAAGCAACTGCCTCGTCGCTGTGGGTCACCCATAACCAGAAGGAATGAGAACTGAACAGTTTGGTTTCTGCGGATCAGTCATTCGCGTTTATTGCTACTGCTAAAAAAAAGACTTCCATTTAGTGCCAGCTACGACAAATTTTGTTTCTTTGCTTTTTAAAATGGAGCAGAGATCACTGGGAAAGCCTCCAATTTAACTCTCATCACCAAAGTCATCATAACATTTGGCCGTTACTAGCTCTGTTTGAATTCAACTCAAATTAAAGACAAATTTCATGTATCTCACACTACCCATCTCGCAATTCCTTCCTCTTGTCATCTCAGTTGAATTTATGGCATGGTCCTTGGGGAGATACTGAACTTTTTCCATCAAGTTTCTCAGTTAGGTCTTGATTTAAATGGCTGCAGATTATTGTCCTAGAATAAGAGGGCTAGACACCAAACCTACCCTGCAGTGTATGCAGCCACTTGAGGTTACAAAGAGACCAAATAATTCCCTTGGGGAACCTGCCATCAGAACAAGGCATCTGTCCAGTCTTGTTTGGTAAAATACTGTGCACGTCTGGTAGCATTTGACAGACTGATCGGTTGGAACTGCATCAGCTCTCAAATCATAACACCTCACCAATTAAAACCAAGACCGGAGTTATTTAATGCTATCAATCACAAGAAGAGAAAGTTATTTTAAAAAAAAAAACAGGCTTTTGCTTTCTTCCAACCTCAATATAACTCAATAACATTCCACAAAGCTTGATTATTTTTTTCAAACTTGCAGTTTGAAAGTTTTGGGTTTTGAAAAGCGGCACCCTGAGCTTACACCTTACCCAAGTGGGAGTGCAGCATTATAATGCACAAAATGACAGTCATCCAGCACTGTGATTCCCAATCCTTTTTCTCCCGAGACATTACTCCAAATCTGGGAGACCTCACAAGCAACATCTAAATCATCACAGCCTCCTGGACCATTATAAACCATGAAGCAGTTTACCTCCACATCACAACCATCACTGCTGTAACTGGCATGAACTGGCCCCTCCTGGCAGTCTCGGAAGTCGGTGTTTACCGAGCCTGCGCTTCCCTGTCATCACCAGGCAGAAAGTCCTTTCCATTTAGGACTAAGACAGGAAGGGTGTATTTTCACTAACAATGTCCCTGGTACGAGTACAAAGGAGTAGATGCAGAATAAATCAGTCTCCAGAGTGTTGCACCATCACTTTCCCCAGAACTAAACTCTGAAATAACACCTGTTAGCAGAAAATACCGGATTTCATTTTTTCACCTCTGAGTCCTCTTGGTCCGGCACTCCATCTCCTCGTTTAAACAGTAACTGTTGAAATATGACCTTGACATTTTTAAAGGAGCCTGTAAAACCTCTCGGCTGTAAACCAGCCAGATTAACATTTATGCATAGTTAATAAAAATAAACACTTTAACCAAAATTGCCTGAATGTTTATGTGAAGGGAGGGATGGCTCACAGGACTCTTCAAAGGACGTTGGCAGCAATTTCCTACCCTGAGTAAAATAAATCAATTCACACACACACACACACATCCTGTTTAACATCAAAAGAAAATCTGGCTCCAAAGAATAACCCGAAGGAGAGGGCCCGTGAGTGTTTACAAACACAGCCTGAGCCAACAAGCACAGAGAGAGGGTTTTTGGGAACCCAGCGAAGCCGCCACCCCGTAGCTGGACTCTCCCGTTTCTCCCGGGGTCCGTTCTGCCTGCGCATGACAAATGAAGAACGCGCAGTGAGAAAAACGGGCCTGATTTCCCAGCCGGAGCAATAGTAAAACAGTGATTTACGCTCCCCATTAACAGCCACAAAACCTGTGGGAATAAGTGAAGTAAATCATGTTTTACAATGAGAGAAATGAGGCGGAGAGCAGGACAGTGACTCTCTCATGACCTCATGGGAGCGCAGCCAGCACGGAAAGGTGGAATTCAGGTTGCTTCTCCAACACAAAGAGATACAGACGCTTTCCTGTTGATCTTGATTTTGGGTGAAGGCGATGCAGTGGTGCCACTCTGAGTTAAATGTGCAGCTCTCACCAGATTTCTCCCCAAACCTGTGCCTTCAGCACGGAGCGCCATTCACAATTAAACACTCGCCAGACCTTTGTTACGTTCCTGCAACACTTTTCTGTGGAGCGGCTGCGAATATTACTGCTTTCTGTGCCTCCCTCTGAGTGTACTTTGTTCCTCATATCTTGTTAATAGAAATAAAATTCAAAAGAAAAAAAGATGGTTCTTGACAGGTTAAAAAAATTGCACCCAAGATCTGTCAGTTTGGGTTGGGATCCCCATTAAGAATCCCCCACACGGAGTCTGCAGTGACACAGACTTCCTGACTTTGAAGGGCAGGAGGCAAACACACCTGACTGTGCAGAAACACAAATATTTGCACATTCAGAAGCCCTCAAAGTACCTAAAGGAATTTCTGTACTGCAGAGGAAGGTATTATTTCCATGTTTAATGTCCTTACGGTACATTCAGAAAGTACTTGCAGAAAACACATCACAGCAGCAGAATGAGATGCTAGCTCCTGGCTATTTGTTTCTCGAATACGTGCAAATCACCGCATCGCATGCGAATACCGGGAGCGGAACAGTGTTTCTAGTCACGAAGACATGGATCAGGTGACTCACGCTGAGGTGTGCATGTGTACATGCGACCGGATGGTGAGTAGCCTATGTGTGTGTATGTACTCCAGTCCCATAAATGGGAACAAAGGCAGAGATACCGTAAACTGTGCAAGGACAGATGAAAGGCATTTTTACGTATGTATTCCCAGACCAAAAAAAAGTCAGAATATGTAAAGGCCAAGGATCCAGAGACAACTAACTTGAAGCGAGCTCCTACAGCAAAGGATAGGCTAGTGGGTGGGTCAGAGAAAGAGTGACAAAGCCTTTTATGTTTACATGAGAAAATAAATGCCGTCGTTACAGTTACGGGCCAAACTTCATTTGGCTTTTGGCTCCAAATGTGTTTGGAAGAGGACGCGCACTCCGTGATCCCACGCAGCTGTAGCACCGGGCTGTCATTCTCCGGGGAAGAGCAAGCTCCCCATGGAAATCACACCTGCTGGCTGTAGAGAAAATGCGCAGAACTCACATCTGCCTCAGCTTTGGCATCTGGAACAGGCTGCCCAGGGAGGTTGTGGAGTCTCCTTCTCTAGAGATATTCAAGACCCGCCTGGACAAGGTCCTGTGCAGCCTACTGTAGGTGACCCTGCTTCAGCAGTCT